CTTTGTTTTATTTTTTTTTTATATTTAGTATTACAGATGTCAAGACTGGCGAAGAAACTTTTAATAGTATTGAAATATATACTTTTATCTGACACAAGCTTTAACACAAACGTGAACACCTAGCTTTTCACAAGAGACCAACTTTTTTGTGTACGTTTGTGGAGCGTGAAGTAGCATTAAATGGCCTTGAACCTATCGTTTTTACCTCAACAAGTGCTGCTTGCGGGTTTCAAAACGTTCGTGTCTTTGCTCTCTCTTTTATCATTCAAATATTTTTTTTGCTGTTTAATCAAGAGAAATTACGATGAATGAGACTATTACACTTTACGGGAATGTCAAACAAACAAATGTCACGTACAGAAGTTGTTCATTGCTGACATTATTTTCTTTCACCCACCCTCCCAGTGGCTCGGCGGCAAGTCTGCAGGCTTATGACACTAAAATTCGCATTTAAATACCCGTGATGAGAAGGAACAGAGATAGCCCATTGTGTAGCTTTCCACTTAACCACCAAATCATATCTTTGAATCAATTCTCAAAAATCTACGCTTTAGATTTCTCGAGATCCTGTAAGATTCGTGTTTAAAAACAAAATGCTTTGAAATTATTATTATTTTAAAATAGTGCCAATAAACAAAACTCGCATTTCGTGGAACAGTATATAACCTAAAGGCACAGAGTGCTCGTGCCCACGTGCCTGTCCATTTTTGCAGCCTACGCGCCAAGTGTCGAATGGGCAACGAACCAGACTGGTGACGAATAGTATCAACACGACTGGGCTGGGTCACATGGGTTAATAACGACGTTTCACCTGAGTTTGTTGACCTTCGTGACGTTCAGATATTCACTTAAAGTACTACTTGTTTGCAAATGAAAGATATCTAAGCTAATTACGAAATTCATTTCTTAGCTAAAAAAATCCTGATAATTTTTGTAAGATTTGTTTTTCTCTACAAATCAAATTTAACTAGAAAGCTATTAGAACGTTAGCAATTATATTTCTTAATTTTCTATTCATATTGATATGTAAAATAAGAAACGAAAATCAATATTTTTCACATATCGTTATTCTGTCCACTCTTGCCTTCATCGCTACCTGATGAATTAAAAAATTCAACACACACAAAAGCAATGACATTTTCAGAATATTTACATTGCGGCCTAAGTGTTCTTCTGGCGGAAATCAATAATGCATTTTTATTCGATTAAGAAAGCGTAAAACGTATTATGACGTAAAATTCATCTGCTTGATTATATAACAGTTTAGTATCATAGATTATGCAAGTTAAACATCCTTGTAAGATGTTTGTTGGATATATATTTGTATTATTTATGGCAAAGATACTATGGCTAAAGTGAACAGCCATTCAGCAACATCTTCCCACCCACCATCCACGCTAAAGGATTGACTGCCACTCTTATAACGCACCCGCAAATTAAAGTACAATGAACATTTTGTGGTATCACAACGGATTCGAACCCGTCTTGGCAGCTCTGAAATCCAGAACTCTACCATAGGCCTAACCAGTACCCTGGATATTTATATTAAATTAACTAAATTAGACACCTTAGAGCTTAATTTATAATTACACATAAAATCTTCCGTCAAAATGTTATAACAGTGTAAAATCTGTTTTCATTCGCATGTCACATTATAAGTTTCAGAATGTTTTTTTTTTAGGTTTATACAACATTTGACCCAGATTATTTACTGTAAGTTTGTAAGAACTATTGGAACTAAAAATTTGAACTCTTGAATGTCTCTTAAAACTGAAGTTGGTAACATAATAATGCTTAATAATAATTGTGTAACACAACTAAAAAAAAAGTCAGTGTTTTCGATGTCATGTAACGTTCAGTTGATCCCATAACATGACATCACCCTTTTTTCATAAACAATTCCTAACCGCCATTCTTCAAGTCATTTTGCTTTCTTTCACGGTGACCTTATTAGAAAATTGTGAAACGGTGATGCCGTCATCGTCCGACATCTCCCTCTTCTGGAGCGTGACTTATTTTTTAAGCGCCTGAAACATTACTACGTAGGTTTTCGTTTTAAAAAAATCCTTAAACACAATAACGAAATATTAAACCGTCTCTGAATTCACGGAAATTAATTTCATTAACATAATTCATTTTAGAAGCAGTTTTCGCGAGGTGATGTTTGTAAATTTACGAATAAGGGACTTCTTTTAAGATGATCGGGGTGGTACTTACTTATACCCACAGAAAACCACTGTTTAACGACTACAACGGACCACAACTCTTATGGAATTAACCTGTCATGGTGCTGTGATGATTGGGGTGATACTTATACCCACAGAAAACCATTGTCTAACGACTACAAAGGACCACAACTCTTATGGAATTAACCTGTCATGGTGCTGTGATGATTGGGGTGATACTTATACCCACAGAAAACCATTGTCTAACGACTACAAAGGACCACAGCTGTTCTGGAATTAACAATAACCTGTTATGGTAGAAAAATGACTTTCCTGGTAATATTCAAGAGAATGTTGGTAGTTTATATGTAAGAGTTGTGATTAATACTGTAGTTCGTTATTATACTAGTAATCTAGTCTATTAATACTTCATAAGATTAATATACATTGAGGTGTGATTGTTAAGTCTTTTTCTAAGTGTGGGAGAAACTATAAAAATTGTGGTTAATTCCACAATATGTTAACTGAATGTAAGTTTTCAAGCTCATTTATGAGCTCTTCTTCAGGCATGAGACAAAAAAAAGTGACATCTTACAAGAACTACATTTTATGTACTTTTTATATACAAAACTGACCTAAATATATATATTATACATTTGTCAACTTTGACCTAATGACGTAAAGCATTTCCTTTAACAAGTCATTGGTGTTCATTTTGAACACAAGGAGTTAGGCTTAGATCTACTATATAATCGTATTATACATATGCAGGATCTCACGTCACCTTACTGTTGACCACCTTGAACTCATTTCAGTAAAGAACCATAGTTAGACTGGTTCGGCTTTATTCTTAGCATAGGAGACTGATTACTCAAAGTTTCAATGTGAGCAAAATCTTTGATTCATTAATATCTACAAAAAATGGTAATCTAAAATTGGGAGGATATGTTACGAATTAAATGACTTTATGTGATAAAAACAATGCAATAAGTACTTAATGAGTTATCCTAAAGAAATTCATCGTACGTTTAACTAATTTCTCAAGCCTACAACAACATTTTTGTAAGGATCAAATGGAAAAATTTAGGCACAACATAATTTTAAAGACCTCCCTAAATTTAATTAAACATGTTAAACCTTAAAAACTTATTGTCCTAGCCTAAGGGAATAAATTTTTTCCAGAGGGAGATTCAGAATTTCAGTTTTATATACGAAAAATAACACATGGTAGAGGGGGTTCCGAACCATATCTAAAACACTTGTAAACTAGCAAAACTTTTAAGACCACTAGGAATGTCATCGGAACTTAGTTTTGGAAATCTTGTTTCGGTAACAAGGTTACTTAAAGTATATTGAAAAGCTTGTAGTTTCTGGTAACCGAGTTTTGATTACTACTCAAAATCTGGTTGCACATTTCAGGAACCTTTTACCTTCAACGAATCAGGAAATTCTTAATGTAGCTTCATTTAGGGTTAAGCTTGATATGCTGAACAGTAGCTTCATTTAGGGTTAAGCTTGATATACTGATTGACCGAAACCATATTGAGCACCTTCTGTAATAGGTTTTTTTTAAACGCTGTATTATGTCCAGACTTACTATTCTAAATGTACCTCTGGTGAAATTTAGTTTCCTTAGATCAAGTAGTTTTTAAGATTTGATTATCTTAACTGTGGGTCTATCTTTTAAAATACCTTGTACGATTAGTTAACCGAAGATGAAATAGGAGATTTGATTTATATAAAGTCTCATCTTAAGTTAAGGGTTATATATTTAGCATTATTACTACATGATTTCCCAACAGAGCACAATCTCCATACCGAAAAACCAAATATTTAACACGTATTTCAGCTTTAGTATTTACATCACTTTAGAACTATTTCTCATATAAAGGAAACGTTCAGGTCACCGCACTAAAATTTTAAACTCAAAGTCAACTATTAGTATTACTGTGGGATTTCTACCACGTGCCTGTAATACGTCATTTCATGAAAGTATTTCATGGCAATTAAAGTATTTTGAATTTAACAAAACGCTTTTCAATCCTTTTTCACATTAAAGTACGTTTTTCTAATGGCGGTTTCATATATCTTTGAGATGCAAAAATAAACAAGGTTTATACCAAATTTACCCTAAAGAGATTTATTTTGTAGATTATAGCCAAGAAAATTTCTTTTATGATGTGGAAACACTTCTTTTTTGGTGTCAGACAAGGCAGGAAAAACCCAGCTGTATGTTTCTAGTAGTAAGAGTATTTTGTATTTATGGCAAACCTACTGGGGCTATCTGTCGCCGACCGTAATTTTTAAGTTTTACTAGAGGGAGGGCAGCCAGTCAACAGCACCCTACCACCCCCCCGGTCACGCTAAGGGATCAGTTTCCAAATCCACACCTTTTGTTGTAAATTGACACATATTTAAAATTGCTTCATATTAACAATACGATGTTTGAAACTAATACATACTATAATAATAATGAATATATACACACACATACATAGATACATACATACACTTTTCTGCGTCCACGTCTCGTTTGTAGTAAAGTCAGGAATATACTAATTTTAACTCTTGCTTTCTGGAATTTGACGTTAGTTTTGGTAAAGAAACTCTTGACGTGTGACCATTTTTTTAGACAAACTTACATCTCATTCTCTTACAGCCATTGGTGATAAACAAAATATTATTTGAAAAATGAAAAAGTTATGGAATATATAATATTTATTTTGTCGACATCTTAATTTTGCAAAACCAATTGTGGTGAAAAGAAAATTATAATTGGAAAAAATTAAACAGTTTTATATTCCTGCAAGAAAAGTTTATTTTATATTAACTCACCTGGGTATAACTTCTTTGACTACTCCTAGAAATTGTTTTCAGTTGGTTACTACTATTATTATTATCTTTCCACAGAAAAAAATAACTACACCAATTTTTCGTTTGTTTTCAGCTTTTGACAATCTTGCTTTGGAATCACTTTTTTTTTTTCCTCCAACCACAGTTTAAAATAGCTATGACGATATCGTGGTTTATAAAATTAGTACAGTCGTTCTCTTCTTGGAGTGTTGTTGTCGCTCATTTTAAATATATTCATACAATTCCACCTATTTGTTCTTTATAATTTGAATAAATGCTCGAATCACTCTAAACCGCCAGAACATACTTATTTCTACTAAGATTCCGGAGCTTATACAGACAGACAGACACAGACTCGTAGCTTCCAACCCGAACGAACCTCACGCGACAGGTTTCTAGCAGCAGACGTAGTACCTGCTGCTTTTCGTTTCTCAAAAACGCCGCCGCTCGTTTCTTGCTCGTCGGGATAGAACGTAATGTATCGTTGTTTTCCAGTCTGTCGTGAGAGGGCAGTCAAACCAATTTGCACAATCTTCCTGCACGAAAGCCTATAGGGATTTCGAAACCTATAACAATAGCACCACGTTTCTTTCATTACAGGTAAATTTATGAGCTTGTCTAATGATTATTACAGAATTTATATTCACTTTTTTCTTCTGATAATTATGAAAAATATCATTCCATCCTAAAAAAAAATCTCAAAGATTCTGTTTAATTTTAATCAAGTTTTTAGTCTCCAAGAATACCCGGACGTTATACAACTGTTTTAGAAGACTTTATTATATAGTATTTTCAACAAAACGTTTATTATTTAACAAAACAAAAAACAAACAACAACATGTAATTTAATATGGAGGCCACATAATATTTTACATTAAAACGTCATCTGCAAATATATTTCAATTAACTAAAAATATCAAACATTCCTTATAATAGAAAATCTGTCTTTTTGGTCCTCCTTCATACGAAGCGTGAAAGAAAAGATCGCTCAGGTTTATTTTTCTTAGTTTGTTGAATTTTGCGCAAAGCCACACGAGGGGTATCTGTGACAGCCGTCTATAACTTAGACTAGAGGGAAGGCAGCTAGTCAACACCACTCACCGCCAACTCCTTTACTAACAAATAATGGGATTGATCGTCACATTATAATGCCCCCACGTGTGAAAGAATGAGCATTCGAACCCGCGAGTTAAGTGCCCTAACCACCATCGTATTTCGATATGCGTGGTGGGCAAAACACAGGTAGCCTTGAGTTTAAGAACAAACAAGTCAATAAAAATAAGATCTGAACAACTTGGTTTTCTGGAAAAATAAATACAGTTTTTGGTTGTTGGATTTCGCACACAGCTACATTAGGGCTATCTATGATAGTCGTCCTTAACTGTTAAGTTATTGAGAGAATGCAGATAGTAAACAACATCCACTAAATAGTGGAACTTGACTGTCACTCTTATAACATATCCACCGCCCTCCAGTTTGCAGAACACTATTATTAATTTGGAGCTGGTAACGACGCGAAACCATAAACCCTAACCAATGGACCTTGTATGAAGAGGTTTCAGTTTCTTCTAAAAGAAATGATGGGCAGTATATATTGTGTAACGAGACATGTTTGACCCAAAGTAAGAAAATTACCCAGAAAATCGGCAATTAGCTTCTTAACCAATAGTAAATGATTTCATTAGCCTCTTAACCAATAGTAAATGATTTCATTAGCCTCTTAACCAATAGTAAATGATTTTATTAGCTTTTTAACCAACAGTAAATGATTTCATTAGCCTCTTAACCAATAGTAAATGATTTCATTAGCCTCTTAACCAATAGTAAATGATTTCATTAGCTTCTTAACCAATAGTAAATGATTTCATTAGCTTCTTAACTAATAGTAAATGATTTCATTAGCTTCTTAACCAATAGTAAATGATTTCATTAGCCTTTTAACCAATAGTAAATGATTTCATTAGCTTCTTATCCAATAGTAAATTATTTCATTAGCATCTTAACCAATGGTAAATGATTTCAAGTTAATTATGTATGGATTTTAAGCGTTTATCGCCGATATAAAGTTAGTCAGCAAGGAATCCCACATAACTATCTTTCATAAAGCACATTCATGAACATACACTGAAACAATGCAACTTCCCCTTAAACACGCGGACAACAACGGACCAAGTATTTCGTCCATCACGAATGTCATTAATCATCCATCCTTGAAGAAATCAAAAATGTAAATCCACACTTTAGTTTACAGGATAACAACTCATTCCACAACCTATCTACACAATTCAGTTTCTGATAAAACTATTTACATATTTTACTACACCTGAACACACAAATGTATTTTATATATTAACAAATTAAATGTTTTCAATTAATTAAATTAAATGTTTTCAATTAATTAAATTAAATGTTTAGTTTGGCAAGTAGCATCATAATGCCTTTCCACCACCCCTGTAAAATACACAAATAAATTAAAAATAAACGCAATCTAAACATTTTTCCAAGATGTTGGAATTTGATCTCAATATCAACTAAAACTCGTATATTCTCCAGGGAGAGATCGTGATGAGTTTCTACGTTACGACAGATAACGTATTAGCTAGAAAATAAAATAAAAAGACACGTCTTTAGTCTCTAAAATAAAAGTGTGTTCAGTCGGTAGTTGACCTCAACAAGCTTTGTAACAAAGGCACAATAAAACGTCTTTTGGACTTTTTTGTGACCTTGAACTTACTTGCTTAACTCTTTGATCACTAACATGGTTACAGTACGTAAACTAATTTAGTGTTGTTTCTTAGTAAATGTGCACCATTTTATTATCCAAGATAAGTTATAAATCAGTAAATCTCTGTAAAAATTCCTTGCGATGAAAAAAAAGAGGCAGTGAAAAAATGTACCAATTTTGGCCACATATATATATATATAAACACATGTAGGCTTCAGTTTGGTAACAGAGGTTTACTAAACACAAACAATCCTGTCAATAAGAATCAAAAATACGAATCTGGTCTTTCTGTAACCTTGAACTCTGTGTACACAATTTCATTCAACTGACACTGGCAATAAAAAATTGATATTTTTGTAACCTTGAACAGTTCTTATTGTTTCTGTCACAATACTCTGATGAACATACAGGCAGCACAGGCTTTTATTGCAATTTTAAAGAATTCCTCTTTAAACAGTGCAATCCACATTGGTTATGTAAGAATAAATACCAATAACTTCCTTGCAGTAACCTCTTTATGTATAATAGGAGTAACTGTAACAGTACATTAGACAGTAGAAAAAAAATGTGGTCGTAATTAAAGATTTCTATATTTACAATCTGGTATCACACCTTCAGAATTATCAACAAAACGTTCGAAGGACTCTGTAAACTTTGATTTTTAACTCCAATGATGAAGTATAATTAATTTGTAATTATCATGTAAATTTATGTGTTAAAGGTTGCTAAACCACACTTCATACAAATTGTCTTTAGCAGCAAGACAATTAAAATGCTGGGACTATTTTTTTTTTATATCCTTTTTTTTTCTATTAAGAGGATTTAAAATAAACTTAACTGTTTTCAAATTGCAATTACTTTCTGATAAAACAAGAACTAGAAATTAAAACCTACAATGAATTCAACCAGTTACAAAATATTCAATAAAAAAAAAGTTGGTTTAATTTTTGGAGATAAAACCTTTTACGAGCAAAGTTAACATTTTCTATGCAAGCTTTTGTGTACTGGAGTCTTGTAGAGTATATAAAATCATTACAGCTATCTTCTGTGATCAAGTTTCCTGCTTTTTATACTTATTTAATCATTGGTAAACTTTTATATAGTCACGGTTTAGTTACATAAAAAAAAACTGAAGTTGTAGTGTATATACAAATCATGAAACATATGTTTATTGTTTTGTTTGTTTGTTTGAAGTTAAGCACAAAGCTACTACACAATGGGCTATCTGTGCTCTGCCCACCACGTGTATCGAAACCCGGTTTCTACCGTTGTAAGTCCGCAGACATACTGCTGTGCCACTGGGGGGCGATACGTTTATTTGAAGTACATTGTTTTTATCAAATAACTCCACATTTGATATGTATATAACACTTTTAATGATTAACTGCATATTTTTAATTCAATATTCATGAGGGTTCTGATACCAAAACAAAGACAAAACAACTAAAAAAAAACTATGTACTGAAAGTTTTCATTTTCCAAACGTGTAATGGTTCTCATCATACCACTGATCAACTAACGAGTCAAACACTACTTCAATCTGGTATATAAAATTTATTCACTAGAGCTTATAAAGTTCAAAAAACCAAATTCATGGAACAAGATTGTTCTACATTTAAAAGAACTTATATGTATCTGTACAAACAAATACCTTTCCCCAAAGTATCCATTGATTACAGTTATTTAAAGAATATAACCAATACCATATACAATGTAGTATTTTTTTTTATTCAGAATAACACCACGTGAAATAATGGCTGGAGACGGCTTGAATGGGCAATGAAGAAAAACTTTAATATAAGTTTAACATAACAGCAAGTTGTCTCCAGCCATTATTAGTCTCAAAGTTGGTTCCTCGTCATCGAATCTAAACACTATGTGCACTCTAAGGGTTTCTTTGTTACTAGTTTTTGTAGAGTACAATACTAGTTATATGAAGTATCATCAAAATAATATAAAATAAACTTTTTTTATTTTGTGGGTAAACAATTTAAACTTTGGTGATTGGATGAGTTTCACTATTCACAGAATATTCAGGAAAACGTTTTCCTAATACAGAAATGAACTTTCTCAGCAAAAAAACATGTATATTCCCTATAATCAAGTAATCTAACAGTAACCAATTTATCTTTACTTGTAAAACAGACACGTCCCATCCATTAGAGTATCAATCATCTATTAAAACATCTTTATACCGTTAACGATGTCGATGTAACAAGTGCAGAACACTGTAACACATCTCTAGTTTTTGTAGGCTCAGTTTTAACCATCTTAAAACAAACTTATATTCATCAGTACAAAAAAAAAATACATGATAAACTGTTGAGATTTTGCTTTCAAGACGTGATATCCAAAAATTGAATTTAATTACAATTTGTTTGAGGTGAAATTTAAGATTTGATATTTTGGTTCTCTGTTCTTAAAATGAAATTAGAAAAAACATATTAGTAACTTGAAAAGGCAAAAAAAAAAATATAAATTAATAAAGACCAAGAATTAATACAAACTAAATCTTTAAGCTCAACATACTATTTAAATGCAGCATTATGTTTATTTAAATATACACCATTTCTCTATTAGATGTACTGTTTCACATGAGAGGTAAGCCTCGCACAAATCTTCTGTACCACATAAAGGATGTTAGAGCTGACAAGGAATACCTGTTGGAAGAAACAAATTTCTTTTGAATCATATATTACTTTTCATGTAACAAACAATAGTTAATTGTTTTGTTTTGAGTTTACTTACTGATTACGTATATATTTTATTACAAGTTACAGCTTTTACAGTAAGTAAGATTTGCATTTAGAACAGGTACGACGTTTCGATCACTGGTGCAATCATTCACTTGTGTACTTGAGAATGATCGCACCGGTGATCGAAACATCGTAGCTGGTCTTAAAACAAATTTTACTTGCTGTAAAAGCTGTAATTTGTAATAAAAAAAAAGTTAATTTTCACGTTTAAAAACAAAGAGAGAATAATACACAAGCATATCTGTATTTCTTTTGTAAAACTGATTTTAATTCAACAACACTGAAGACAAGATTAGTGTACACAGTACAAGCAACCAAGTCCAGAAGCTGAGAACACAGATAGAGATAGTATAATGTACCACAGTTTGCAGAGGTATAAGTTAAAGTAGAACTCATTAGAGGAGATACTGGAAAAGATATTACTTTTACCAATCTATATATTTTGTGTTCTAACTTATGAATAGGTGATTCTTATTATTTGTTTTTTAATATATATATATATATATATATATATATATCTGTATCAAAACAACTGTATCCAAATGCTTCAACACATAGAATGCATAGAAGCATCTTCACAAAGCATATATGTGAGCTACTACTAGGTTTTCCATACAAAGGGAAAACAAATTTACTGTATGTTAAAGCATTTCAAATACCAATACTTAACAAGAGCAAACTGTGTTTATGAAACACCAATGCCCCCTCCCCCCAACTTTGACCGTCAAGAGTTAATCGGGTGTAGAGATTTGTACGTAGCACTTGTATAAGTTTGGTCAAAATATATTCATTCCAACCTTGAGATATTCTGTCCACAAGACCAGGATGGATCCTCAAATGGACAGGGTCAACCAATATATTCCATTCTGCTTCACAGTGGGATCATAATTATTATAACATTAGCATATGGTGACCATCAAAAATAAATACGTAAATTCAGGTACTCTTTTAATTTATTGTTTTGTATCTCGATAAACATTTGTTTTCGGCTGCTCTATTTGTATTGTCCTGCACTTCGACTCTACGGCTAAACAGCAATGTGTTGTGGCAAATTTATTTCATATGTCAGAGTTCTCTAAAGTTACACAGTCAGAGCTGTTTAATGGAGTTTACTTGGTCATAAGACATTCCTCAGGAAAATTTTGCTTATACACAGTTATAAAGATGTTGCATTGTTCAACAAACAATAAACCTACAACAGTACTTGAAGCTGACAAATAGTGTTTGTACGTTGTGATGTATACTCTATTCTTTAATGTTACTGTCATTAACAGTATTGGTTAGAATGTTCAATATATCTAGGTTTATCGTTCTTTTAAAAATTTTTTTACTATTGGTTAATACTGGTAGCTTAGTATTTGAATTTAGGACTAACCTAAATCTTCTGAGCTGGTCGAACCTTACGACATATTATTGGATTTATAGCTAAGTAAGAATGTTGGAACAGTATATTTAATTGTCTAGGCTCACTAGTGGTTTTTTTGTTTATTTCTGATCTAAGTAGGTAGCTTACTCTGATCAACAATCGTGACCAACTACAATATTAAAAGCCTAACCAGTTTACACTTACCACGTGAGGATGTAGGAAAAATGTTCATTTCTTAATGATACTTTAGTTTGTCCACCAATTGGACCTCCTGGAACAGAGCTCTCTGTAATTAAATAACACAAAGAATAGAACATGAACCTATTATAATAATACTCAGTTTTTGTTTGTCCTGAACCTTACTATCTAACTGGACATGTGTACGCACTTCATTTCAAGGATGTAAACAAAAGGCGGACGTAAATATACTTTAGTAGACGTTTTTTAATATAACACTAAGTTTATTTGTTGATAGTATTAAGTACATTAAAGTTTAACCCTAACTAAACTAAAGAAAAAAAAATGTACAGAAATTACAGTGTTAATTTATTTTTTTTTGGTTATAATCCATCTAACTACTGTTAGGCCTAAGACAAGTGGATATTTTGGTGTCTGTGGTTAGAACTGTTTTACATTATTCTAGAAATCCTGTAAATAAAGAAGTATTGTTGCAATAAAGATACTAATTTGACTACAAATGTTTTACAGGTCTCTGTGAGAGAGAAAGAACCAATTAGTTGAATCAGTTACCAATCTTTACAGTTTACATTTAGAATGTTCAGTAATTTTAAATGGAAAAACATAGTCACATATTTGAAACATAAATAAAGCCTTAAAGAATATGCACACACACACACAAATGCAAGTTTTTGTCTTCGGTGATTAAACAAATTAAAGACAAAAAATAACATTACAACTACAGTAAGCCAAAATGTGTATTATATATATATATATGTATGTATGTATGTGTAATGTTCTTCAAGCTAACTAAGCCATTCTGTCATTCTTAAAACTTATTTTCGATACAGGCTTTCAAACTGAGTGATACACCTAAAGAAGAGTTCTTCCACAGTGAGAACTGATCTGGTAGCTTAACTGACTAAGAAATCTACCCTGTAAACAAAGTCTCATGTTCACTTCATCTTAAATTTTCTTCTTTCAGAAGAACTACAGGCAACGTGCTACTCTTTAACATTTATTCTTCACTACATTTGAAATAAAACCATGTTTCTTCATATCTTGGTTACTTTTTAGAAACCAACCAACAATGTTTACATGTTTGTTATCCTTGACTCGAGGGAAAGTTTCTGATGGAATCTGGTTTGTAGTGAAATTGACGACTTGTCAATCAAAACAACCTCAGTAACGGCTTTTTAATATTCAATTATACATACAGTTTCTGCTGAAGTTGTCAAGAACTACAGGATCAAAGCTACGTCTGTTAGAATCCAGCTAACTTATAAGGGGTGGGCGTGTTTCATAAATATAAATATGTATAATTCATGATGTGATCCCCTCGTGGAAGGACTTATAGGTGTATCCGTACCAAACGTGGTATGCCAGCAAGGCGTATAATTCATGATGTGATTCCCTCGTGGAAGGACTTATAGGTGTATCCGTACCAAACGTGGTATGCCAGCAAGGCGTATAATTCATGATGTGATCCCCTCGTGGAAGGACTTATAGGTGTATCCGTACCAAACGTGGTATGCCAGCGAGGCGTATAATTCATGATGTGATTCCCTCGTGGAAGGACTTATAGGTGTATCCGTACCAAACGTGGTATGCCAGCAAGGCGTATAATTCATGATGTGATCCCCTCGTGGAAGGACTTATAGGTGTATCCGTACCGAACGTGGTATGCCAGCAAGGCTGTCATATTCGACATTATAGAAATAGTTTCTGAGAAGAAATTGCAACAAAAGAGTAAACCACTGTTACCACTTCTACAATACATTCACACTATTAGTATTGCATCTTTGAAATATTTTTATTCTACTGCTACAAAATTTTGAAGGAACGATAGCAGGCAGAATTTCCCATTATCGTTCACTTACACCTAAATCACAACGACGTATGGCATATATAAATATCTTCCATTTTAAATGTGTTCCCCACGTTACTTCTATAACACAATTCACCAGTGTCTCGTAATCTTGAGTTTATGATGGATGTAACATTTTCGTAACTCATTACATTTTTAGTTTGTTTGTTTGGAATTTCGCGTAAAGCTACACGAGGGCTATCTATGCTAGCCGTCCGTAATTTAGTAGTGTAAGACTAGAGGGAAGGCAGCTAGTCATCACCACCCACCGCCAACTCTTGGGCTACTCTTTTTACCAACGAATAGTGGGATTGACTGTCACATTATAATGCCTCTACAGCTGAAAAGGCGAGCATGTTCGGTGTGATGGGGATTCGAACCAGTTTTACCAACGAATAGTGGGATTGACCATCACATTATAATGCCCCCACGGCTGAAAGGGCAAGCATGAACATGACTGGGATTCGAACCCGCAACCCCCAGATTGCGAGTCGAGTGCCCTAACCACCTGGCCATGCCGGGCCTTACATCTTTAGTAAGGCAGTAAAATTGTGATTTTCTGAAAGAGTAACATATACACAGAATTGTGTGGCAACTTACACGGAAATAAAAAAAAACAAATATATTTTTTAAATGTTAAAATACATCACTACTAACAGTAGATACTGCTATAATACTTCTTGTCAAAGAGGAAGGGTTAAACATGACCTCACCTTAATGCTCCTTTATCTTCACTTGAATATTACCAGATACTCACCATCAGTGGCATCTAGAAACACTGGAGCTGTCCCGCAGAATCTAGCCATGTTATCAACGTCTCGGTAATGGTAAAACCTACTGTTAGGATCATTCTTAGCCCCAAAGGGGGCACGCTAAAAGAAAATAAGATAGTTAAAAGCAAGGTAGACAAATTCTGTCAGTATAATCAAAAGCACACTTGTACTATATTAAACACATTCTATTTAGCACACTTGCACTATATTAAACACATTTTACTTCAAACTGACAGTTGCTGAGATAAATGTAATATTAGTACAAAATATTTTAGTATTATTGGAATTTTTACAGTTGCCTCAGGCCTCAAATATTTCTGGAATGGCCATCTTTCCCCATAGGACAAGTAACCTAAAACGTTTACTTGCCCCACACACATACATATCATAAAATGAAGAAAACATAGTTAATTGCACATGTGCCAGACACACAGAGCAATTGAATGGATTACAAGATGATCAGTTTTATAAACAACTGTAAAAAACTGTCAATTTTGTAACCTATTCATTCTTTTCTACAGTCTATGTTAAAATTTAGTTCATAAACTTCATTGTTTTTCTCATTTACTTTTTTGATTGACTTAGAAAATTCTGTACTCTCTGGTATATTTATCGCGCTTTCATGTTCCACACACAGATCATGTTTCCTATTTTTATCGTGATATTTTAACGATTCTTTCCTAAAATTTTCCTTAATAACCAAGTTTGATCCTTTCTCTGAGATTGCTGGGCATTTGCAACATACTTTTCAAATTAACACCCTGGGCTCTTTAGCACACTCGGCCCATTCAAACCCTGCTAACAATGTCTTCTGAATACTTCTTTTCCTTTTTAAAGAATAACATTTCTTCTGTTGAAGTTTTCTTTTTATCTACCTGTTCTTCTGACTTCTCTTATTTCTTTAAATTTTCTTTCTCCCCAACCCATTGTCCACTACTGAAATAATTTTGTGTGTCTAACATTTTCCGAGGTCATAATAAAATGATAAAACTTAGGATGCAAATTTTATTCTTTGCAACAGTTTTTGAACGTTTTAAACTCATCTCGACTAAAAAATTTTTTCATCAGAGGTCCCAGCAATTGCTCAAGAAATGAATAAGTAACAAAAACAGTAACAGTTTAATGATAAACAGAAAGAAACCGAGGTATTTATTGAAGTCTGCCCCTTTAATTTTAGTGAAATAACTTTAACCAATCAAAATAATGTACTCATGTTAGACGATAACTGCATGAAAAAATAAAACTTGCCCTTATTCGTCCACTACCCCTTATATACGAGAGACAAGTGGAATTATCGAAGACTGCTTACACACAGTTAAAAAATATTGAACAACTTGAACTAAGTGAAAAATCACGTCACTTTTTTGATATGCCAATCTAGGTAATTTATTAAGTTTCTATCATGATTATATTTAATAAAAGAAACTATGTATAAGAATTTACCTTTTCAGAATTCCGAACTATACCCACTATTTCAACTTCGCCTTCCACCTGTAACAGAGGAAAAAGTTGAAAACTTGGAAGACAAAAAATAAACAGGAAAAATCTTGATTATAGGGTGGTCATAAATTATTGAGTTATTTTATCAACTGAATAGTATGAGAACTCGTAAATTAAACAGTTGCAGTTTGTGGAGACGAACACCTCAGATAGCCCTTGAGTAGTTTTGTGTAAAATTCAACAATACCTCAGGTTTGTTCATGACCGGTGGCACTGTTAATACACCTCGAGATGGGTAACATTCATGGTTCGAGAGAACCATATACGCATCAGCATCCCTGGAGTAATCATTGAAATTGAGTTAGTTAATTGTGCATGCAATGTTACCAAAATTTTGTAATTTACTCACATCTAAATGAATGGGAAAAAACTTCAGTCTCTCACATGCTGTAAACCACCACTGTTTATCTGGTGCAGTTCTTATTCTATTAATAGAACAAGAACTGCACCAGATAAACAGTGGTTTACAGCATGTGAGAGACTGAAGTTTTGGTAAACCACAACTGTATATCTGGTGTAAGTTCTTATTCTATTCAAAACTTCAGTCTCTCACATGCTGTAAACCACAACTGTATATCTGGTGTAGTTCTTATTCTATTCAAAACTTCAGCTCACATGCTGTAAACCACCACTGTTTATCTGGTGCATTTCTTATTCTATTCAAAACTTCAGTCTCTCACATGCTGTAAACCACAACTGTATATCTGGTGTAGTTCTTATTCTATTCAAAACTTCAGTCTCTCACATGCTGTAAACTGCAACTGTATATCTGGTGCAGTTCTTATTTTATTAATAGAACAAGAACTGCACCAGATAAACAGTGGTTTACAGCATGTGAGAGACTGAAGTTTTGGTAAACCACAACTGTTTACCTGGTGCAGTTCTTATTCTATTCAATTAAGAGAGAGGTTTGACAATCTATGGACATCCTGTATTTCTGACCAACAGTCTTATTATGAACCTTAACATTTTAGTTGCTTCAGATACATGTTCAGGAGTTCATACTGTTATTTAATTCAACATTTTTAATAAACTGATACTTCTAGTAATGCACAGTAAAAAGTTGTGGTGGTAATATCCTTTTAAGTGGTAAAGATTAACACACGAGTACTCTGAAATCAAAAACAAAGAACGAGAACCTACATAAATCTGTAACAATGATACATTATAAATTTGAAATATTCTGTTACATATGCTATCATAATATGGGATTGGCAATTAATAGATGAACTTCTCGTAGTCAAGTTCTTAAAAAAATTTAAAGTACATTTCTGTTTCTTTAATTGATAGCTTTCCAATAATTAAATTACAATATTGCAAAAAGAAATTTTATATACTACAATTTATAAACTTAAATGTTTGTAAGTTTTGTATGAACTGCTCATTAAATTGTTTTTTGGTAAAGTTAAATATACACCAGTTACAATAGTGGTATGACATTGTTCTAATCCAAGACAAAAAACAATTTAATGAGCAGTTCATACAAAACTAACAAACATTTAAGTTTATAAATTGTAGTATATAAAATTTCTTTTTGCAATATTGTAATTTAATTATTGGAAAGCTATCAATTAAAGAAACAGAAATGTACTTTAAATTTTTTTAAGAACTTGACTACGAGAAGTTCATCTATTAATTGCCAATCCCATATTATGATAGCATATGTA